ACAATTTGTAATAGCTAAAGCTTGGAAACAGCCCAAGTGCCCATCGACTGGAGACTGGATAAAGAAGATGTGGTTTTTTTTTATAAAATGGAGTACTACTCAGCCATAGAGAATGAGAAACTAGAGACATTTATAGCTAAATGGATACATATTGAGGCCATACTCTTTAAGTGAAATAAATAGGACACGTGTAAATATCGAATAGTTTTTCTAGTGTGAGAAATTGAAAGTGTAAATAAGGATGAAAATGATTAAAATGAATAATTGATACTTTGAAATAAGAAAAGGTCCAAGGGTTTGGGGATGGTGGAAGGGATAGGGGAAAGGGAAGAAGGGAAAGAAAAAAATTATGAGGAAAAAAAAAATGGAATCAAACTCTGTGTAGATAGGGAAGGGTGGAGGGGGTGGAGGGTGCACAGGTAATAGGAGAAAAAATAAAAACTAAGATGCATCATGTTCTGGTACAAACACCCAGTGATAAATGTAAATATTTTATACCTAAAATGTGCCAATAAATATATATATTTAAAAAATAAAAATAAAAGAAAAGCTGTATTTAAGATGTTCATCATTATCCAGAAGCAGTTGGCTTAACAATGAAATAACCTTTTGAAGCCACATTTACAGTGCCAATTAGGTGACAGCACCTTGCAAGGCTGGGGCCAGGTTCCCCAGAGGCTTTACACTGAATCAGTGACCAATATATAGTGCTGTTTTCACTAGAGCCAGGATTCATGGGTCCCAGAATCAAGGGATGGAAATGTAAGTAGCTCCACTTACCATTAAACCCTGGTAACCCACTAGCAACATTTTTGCTTCACTTCCCATGAGTTCATGCTCTGCTGGCTTACAAGTCTTAGTTCCAGAGAGATGCTGTCACCAGGAGACAAAACAGTGATTCCCATTGAACTGGGACTACCCAGATACCTTGAGCTCCTTATGTCTCTGCCTTAACAAACTAACAAGTTACAAGACAGTATTGGCTGGGGTGATTAATTCACACTACCAAGGGGAAATTGAAGTATTCCACAGTGGGCCTAAAGATAAGTATGTCTGGAATACAAGAGAACTTTTAGCATGTCTCAGTATTACCATGCCATGTGATGAAGATCAAATGGGAAATTAGAACAATCCAATCCAGCATCACTGAATGTCCCAGGCCCTTCAAGAATGAAGGTTTGCCCTGGTACCAAAAAAAAAAGAAGAATGAAGGTTTGGATCACCAACGAGGTAAAGAACTATGACTAGCTGAGGTGCTTGCTAAAGGCAGAGGGAATACAGAGTGCGTAGTGCAAAAAGGTAGTTACAAATACCAGTTACATGATAGGACTTTAGTTTTCATGAGTATTTTGTCTCTGTTTTGTTAAGAATACATTTGGGTATATGTAGATGGTCAGACATTGGACAGCAATAGGGATATGTTCTGAGAAACCAATTACAGGGCATTTTCGTTATGGTATAAGCCTCAGAGTGAACTTGTACAAACTAAGATGGCTACAACATCATGAGGTGATATAATCTTATGGGACCAGTTGTATAGGTGGTCCATCATTGATTGAAAACTAATGTGTTATATGACCTTATTGTTAATTCTGCATTGTATTATTTAAGTTATATGCACATCGGAAGAAAAATAAATGTCACCTAAGAACTTCACCTCTTCTGGGGAAGCGATTAGTAAAATTGAGCAATTGGTAAAATAGAGTTTTCTGTTGTTCCATTTATATCATGTTGGGCAGAACTATTACCTTGTGTTTATTTGGAAATTAACTATGGGTAAGGAGATATGTTTGGGTGCCAAGTTGAAGAGATGGACTTAGAGTAGTCAACTTTAGGTGTCATCCTGGCTGGACTAAGGAGTACTTAGAGATTTAGTAAAATGTTACTTCTGAGTGTGTCTGTGAGGGTATTTCTAGAGTTGATTGGCCTATGAGTAAGTGGACTAAGTGGGACAGATCTGCCCTTAGCATGGTGGGCATCATCCAGTTGAGTGGGGACCTGGATAGAACAAAAGAGGGCCGGGGATTTAGCTCAGTGGTTTCGCCACCTGCTGCGCAAGTGCAAGGACCCGAGTTCAATCTCCGGTACCAAAAAAAAAAAAAGCGGGAGAAAGATTTGCTCTGTCTCTCTGAAACAGACTTTCCTCCTCTTGCCCTTGGACATCAGAACTCTAGGCTCTCTGGCCTTGGGACTCCAGGATTTAGACCAGGTCTGGATTCTCAGGTCTTCAGCCGCAGGGTGAACATTACATCATGCCCTCTCTGATTTTGAAGTTTTTGGACTTGGCCAGTGCCATGCTTCTGGCATCCCAGGATCTGCAGCTTGCCGACAGCCTATTGTAGGATGCCTCATCTTCCATAACTGCATGCGCCACTTGCCCTAATAAATCTCCTCTCGTAAATCTTTATGTCCTGTTTGTTCTGTCTCTTTAGAGCACTAATATGGGTGACCAGCTGCATGGATTAACGTGTCATATGAGCTGGATGATTGGGGTTAATATTTAAGAGCTGGAGGACCTAACAGTCACTTGTTTACATGCTTGTTTAAGCCCTATTAAATTTGGTCCAAAGAATAAAATAATTTAAACTCTAATAGTCTCCCCCTGTCATATTTGAGATGAAAGGGTTTATGAGGGGAACTGGAGGTAACCTGACTTGCTTAAGGTCATGATGGTAGTAACACAGGTAGAACTTGACTCTACATTGTCAAATTTCTAGGATAGTAGAACACAATACCGGTATACTATAAGTACATCTGGTTTTTCTTCCTTGCTTTCTATGATACTTTATATTTTATAAGCTATAATTGGAATTCTCATGGCCTCAAGTACAAAGGAAAAATTAATCCTAAAGGCATTTTATTGCCAGTTATTGAGCTATGCACTGTACTAGTGTACACTAACTTTTAAATTCCTTATAGCAGTTCCTTACAGTAGCTAGTATCATCACAGTTACAAACTGAGGCTCAGAAAATCAAAACTAATTTGCCCAATGTTGCCCTGTTTAAAAGTTACAGCATTGAGATTTTTTTATTTCATCATTTTAATTTTTAGTTTTATGTGAATGTTTAATAATGAACATTTTATAGAACTTTTACTAAACACTTTAAAACTTTATAAAGTAGCAAATAAGTACACAGTAGTACTGTGCAAATTATTTGTTATGGGAAGCCCCACTCACCTACCCATCAAACAGATGTGGTTTTTTTGTTTGCGGTACCAGGGATTGAACTCAGGACCTTGTGCTTTCAAGGCAGGCCTGGCGCCACTGAGCTAAATCCCCAGCCCAAGAAGATGTGACTTTACAAAGGACAGTAAAGACTGCTCTACAGGAGATGACCCACCTGGAGCTGTTTGCGAGGGTGCCATCCAGATTAGCCTAGGCCTGGAGATTGTTTCAAACTGGTTTGTTCTCCCTGTGTGCAACTTAACATGATACTCAGTCAGACAGAATTAGCACTGCCTGTCAGTGCTTGTCTGTTGTGGATCTTATGTTAGTAACTTGGCTATTTTTGTTAACTGACCTATTACTTACATTTAGATACAAGAAAGGTGGCTACAGGATAACCTTACTTTAAGAAAAAGAAATGAGGAACTAAAAGAAGTTGAAGAAGAGAGAAAACAACGTTTGAAAGAAATGGGTCAAATGCAGGTTTTGCAGATGAAAAGGTGTGTTTTTAAGAAAAGTCCTTATTGTAAGTGAAAATCTTTATTGTAGTGTGAAGACACCAAATACCTGTTTTATAAAATAGGCTGTAGCTTAGTATCCCTTGAGACTTAGAGGAAGGTGGACAGATACACAAGTATATTTCATGGCCTTAGAAATTGAATTGCTGAAGTGACATAGAATTGATCACCGTGGGTGATGGGCAGTAATCAGTTTTATGGATTTTTGTTTTTTTAGACAAGGTCTTGCTGTGTAGTTCAGGCTGGCCTAGAACTCACAGTGATCTTCCTGCCTCAGCCTCCTGTGTGGTAGGAGTACAGGACTGCATCACCATGCCTGGCTTTACTCAGTATTAAATATGCTAACTCCTCAGACTTCTGGCCTGCTGCACAGAATAGTGGTGCTGATCACAAAGCAAATATAGCCGTGAACCGGTCCTGGGTCAGAGCTTGCACCCTATGTGGTATTGCCAGTGGAGTGATTGCCAGAGCAGTTAGCAGGTTGCCAGTGGAGACTTACTGGATTGTCCCAGTTATGATTTTGTACCCACCAAAGCTTTTTTTTTTTAAATAAAGATCAGCCAGATTGTTTCTTCATCTGATTTTATTGGTATTTGCTGTAGTTCCTACCTTCCTGGTACAGCAGAAAAGATTTTGTTCCTGTCTTTCTTAGTTGCCTTAGGAATTCTGTGAGAAGCTGGTTGATGCAGAATCTCTCAGCTAGGATAAAAGATTGCACCAGCCACATACTTAGATATCGAACCACTTCAGCTGGTTCAGTCCCAATGTCATTCATTCAACCCTTCTGCATTTTTTATTGGTCTTGAATTTATAGAGAAATCTGGGTCAAAGAATGCCTAGGATTTTCTTACAGATAACAGTAAAAGTGAAGTTTTATTTTAATGTGTAAAACCAAAGAAATGGTTAATCTGTATTATTGTAATACTGTTGGTTTAGCTATTTAAGAGCTCTTCCCTATATCAAGGAAATCAGACTTGGTAACTAGAAGAGCTTGTCATCTTTAGCCTTTTCATTTTTTTATGCATTTGGACGTGAAACCTGGAAAAATCAGAGGAAGTTATGATGAAATCAAGGAATGTGACTCCAACATCCCATCATTGCCCAAGTCTCTGCTCTGTAACTATAATGTTAGTGGTCTGTCCAAGAAGTTGGAGAAGTAAAGCTCTTAGAAAAAAACTTTGAAATGAAATAGTTTATTCTTTGCTACTAAAGACTTTTAAAATTTCTTTTGTGATTAGTACTTAAAAAGGCTTTTTACATTCATTCAGAATACTAAGTATATCTGTTCTTTTTCAAACATTTCTTCAACTAGAATATAACAGCTCAACTTTATGAATGTTCATAAATTTAAGAGCAATGTCTAGGACATAAGAGAATGCTTAATAAGTGATTGCTAAATGAAGATTTGGAAAGCATAAAGTCTGGGTAATATGCCAAATTATCAGAAAATTTTGAGTGTTTATTAGTCGTTATTAAGGTTTTTATACTTGTACAAGAGAAATTTATTTTCATAGAAAAATGCAAATTTTTAACAAATATTACTATAGATACTCATATTTAGTTCATATAAAAATTGTACTGTCTTTTATATATTGTGAGCAAAAACATGTTACACAGTAGCTGCTTAGTGTTGGTAATTGTGCATCCTCAGTTCATAAAAGTTTGTGAATTTGTAATACTAATATCCGTCTGTGCTTTACTTAGGTTAATCAGTGTCTTAAGGTCAGGAACTTTCTCAGTGCTCACAGAGCATGAGGGTTCTTTGTTCAGCATATAAAAATTAGTTGTTCAGAAACTCACCTGCTGCAGAAATTGAGGAGAGAATTCTCTTTAGTACCAAAACCTTAAAAAGCAAGGAAAGACTCTGTTATCATATACGGATTGCTAGAGAGAATGACACCTGTCTATGATGACTTTTCCACTTTAGGTTGATAAAAGCTAAAAAGTGGTCTGAATTTGTCACTTTCCCCCTTTACAGTGAACATCAGAAGTTAAAAGTGAACCTTGATGATATAAAAAGAAATCGCGATTTGGCATTGGGGCGACAGAAAGGTTATGAGGAAGAAATTATTCGTTTTAAGAAAGAACTCCGAGAACCTCAGTTTCGGGATGCTGAAGAAAAGTATAGAGAAATGATGATTGTCATGAGAACAACAGAGCTTGTGAACAAGGATCTGGACATTTATTATAAGACCCTTGACCAGTAAGTATTAGGCTAGAGATTTAGTACCCATTGCGGTGAATATCCGCTAACATGTTTTAGTCATATTTCTTCCATTTTTAAATGTGATATTTCATATATACTATAGAATGGAGAAATAAATGCATGTATGCATACACATGTACTTACTTAAGGTTTGGAGTTACAAAGAATATTAAGGAGTATTCATGATGCCACCTTCCCCTAATCAACCCAAGGACTCTACCATTATCACTAATTGGCATCCACTTAGATTTGCCTCTCTTATCTTAACCTTCAGTCATCTTTGTCTCCTGTAACTACGACAAAGATTTTTGCTTTGGCAATTTTTTTAAAAAATAGATTTATTATATTTGTGTTGGTTTTCCAGCTTTTAAAAAAATGGTGTAGTTCTGAATACTCATCTAGGATTTGCTTTTTTGTTTTATTTTTATTCATGTTGTTTATACCACTGATATCCTTTCTTCAATAGTCAGACATTTGGGTTTTTTCCAGTTCTTAGTAATGCAAACCTTGCCTCTAAGAACATTTCTTGTCCTGTCTTTTGGAGCAAAGGTATAATTAATTTTTAGGGCTGGGGATTTTTAGCTCAGTGCCGCCTCCTGCCCTGCAAGCGCAAGGACCAGAGTTCGATCCCTGGTACCCAAAAAAAAAATTTATAAATGTGGCAGTGGGTTACAGAGTATGTTCAGTTTCATGAAATGTTAAATTGTTTTCCAAAAACGGTTTTAGTAACTTAGATCGCTAGAGTTTTCATTGATGTAGCCTTTCATTGGTTTGTACATTTCTTAGTATTTGCCAACCTAATGGGTTTAAAGTGATAATTGTACTCATTTGCAGTCCCTTGATTTCTTTTTAAATTTTTAATGATAGAATCTTTTAAATGTTTTTTCATTAACATGTATAAATTTTCATCTTAGTAGGATACAGTGAGATTTCCATATACGCATACAATGTGTACTGATCAAATACAACTAGTCTTTTTTTCAGTCCAAGCCCCATACCCTTCCTTATCTGTAGTAATCACTATTCTGCTTTCAGGTCAACATTATTTTAGTTTCCACATATGAAAGAGTGCATGTAGTACTTAATGTAGTACTTATCTTTCTATGTCTGGCTTATTTCACTTAACATAATCTCCTCTAGTATCAAAACATTTTGCTACAGATTATGGGATTTTATTCTTTTATTTTCTTTGTCCATTCATCCATTGATGGGCACCTAGGCTGATGCCATATCCTAGTTCTTATGTATAGTACCATTGTAAACATGGGCATGGAGCTATTTCTTTGATATGTTGATTTCATTTTCTTTAGATAATATATCCAGAAGTGGAATCATTGAATCGTCTAATACATCTGTTTTTAGTTTTTTGAGGAACCTCCATACTATTCTCCATAACGGCTGTATTCATTTATGTTCCCACCAACAATGTATAAGCGTTGGCCTTTTTTTTGTTATTTTGTGTTTTTATTTTTCATAATAGCCATTCTAACTGGGACAAGATGGTATTTCATTGTAGTTTTTATTTTGCATTTCCCTGATAGCTAATGATATTGAGCATTTTTAAATATATGTATTGGTCATTTGTATTTCTTCTTCGGAGAAGCGTCCATTCAGATCACTTACCCATTTTAAAATTGGGTTTGTATGTGTGTGTTTTGTTGTTGTTTTGGTGGTGATGGTGTTGAGGATTAAATCTAGAGTCTTGAACACACTAGGCGTATGCTCTACCACTCAGCTATAGCCTGTCTGGATTATATGGGGTTTTCTGTTGAGTATCTTGAGTTCTTTATATATTCTGGGTACCAACAGTCTGTCAGATGAATACTTGGCAGATATTTTCTTCCATCCCGTAGGTTGTCTCTTCACTCTGTTGATTATTTCCTGTGGTGTGTGTGAAGAAGGTTTTGAGTTTGATATAGTCCCATCTGTCAATTTTTGCTTTTTTTCCTATGCTCTTAGGGTTCTGTTCAGAAAAATCACTGCATGTATCAGTATCTTGATGTGTGTCCTCCATGTTTAGTAATTTCAAATTGCACGGTCTCGTAGTTCAGTCTTTGACCTATTTTGAGTTCATTTTTGAAATGGATGAGAGATATGGGTCTTGTTTCTGTTGCATATTACTATCCAGTTTCCCCAGCAGCATTTATTAAAAGGCTGTCTTTTCTTGGATGTATGTTTTTGGTGCATTTATCAAGAATCAGGTGATTGTGGGTACATGAGTTTATTTCTAGGATCTCTATTCTGTTCTATGGTCAGTCTGTTTTTATGCAAATACCATGTGGTTTTGATTACTGTGGCTCCATAGTATATCTTGAAATCAGGTATTGTGATGCCTACAGCTTTTCTTTTTTGTTCAAGATTGCTTTGGCTATTCGTGGTCTTTATGGTCTATATGAACTTTAAAATTTCTAGTTATGTGAAGAATATCATTGGTATTTTGATGGGTACTGCATAGAATCTGTATATCACTTTGGCTAGTATGGAAATTTTAATAGTATTAGTTCTTCTAAATCATAAACATGGATGGTCTTTTCTAAATTTTTGGTGTGTCTTATACAGTTTCTTTCATTAGTGTTTCATAAATTTTATTGTAGAGCTCTTTCAGTTCTTTGATTCCATGGTTTCACTTCTTGTATCTAGCTTATTTTACTTAACATAATATCCTTCAGTTCTCTTCATTTTGCTGCAAGTTCTTTTTTATGACTAATTAAAAATAGATGTACTACATTATTCCTAGGTTGTTTTTTGTTCGTTGTAGCTTTTGTGAATGGGATTGCTCTCATGATTTTTTTTTAGCAAATTTATTATTGGTGTATAAAAAAGTAGGTGATTTTTGTATGCTGAATTTTTTTTTTTTTTTTGCACTGGTGATGAAACTCAGGACCTCATGCTTACCGTAAGGCAGGCGCCCATGCCACTGAACTAAATCCCCAGCCTGAATGCTGATTTTTTTTATCCTACTTTACAAAATTTATCAGTTCTGATAATCTTTTGGTGAAAACTTTAGGTTTTCTAGATACAGAATCACATCATAGACTTTATCCCTTCCTAATTATATGTCTTTTATTTTTGTGTCTTGCCTGATTGCTCTGGCTAAAACTTCTGTTACTATATGAAATAAGAGCAGTGAGGATGGACACCCTTTTTCCTAATCTTAGTAAGATGTTGAGCATGGGTTTGCCATTTACGGCCTTTTTTGTGTTGAGGTGTGATTCTTCTATACCTAATTTGCTCAATGCTTTTATGAAGGATAGTGAATTCTATCAAATGCTTTTGTTTTGCATCTATTGAGATGATGATTTGATTTATATACATTGAACCATACTTGCACCCCGGGACAAATTCACCATGTTTTTGCATCTGTGTTCATCAGAGTATTGGCCTATAGTTTGTTGTTGTTGTTGTTGTTGTTGTTACTATGTTTTTTGTTTTGTTTTATTTATTATTTTTTGGCACAGGGATCGAACTCAGGAACTTGCGCTTGAGGTGCCACTGAGTTAAATCTCCAACCCTGTGGTTGTTACTGTCTAGTTTTGGTAACAAACTAATGCTGGCATCATAGAGTGAGTTTGAAAGGGTTTCCATGCTTTCAGTTTCATGAACTAGTTCAAGAAAAATTGTCATTAGTCATTCTTCAAAAGTTTAGTAAGCTGGGCTGGGGATTTAGCTCAGTGGTTCTGCTGCCTGCCTCGCAAGCGCAAGGTCACAAGTTCCATCCCTGGTACCAAAAAAAAAGAAAAAAAGTTTAGTAAGCTGTACAGAGTGGCATGTGCCTGTAATCTCAGCTACTCCAGAGGCCAAGGCAGGGAATTATGAATTTGAGGCCAGCCTAGGCAGCATGGTGAGATCCCATCTCTAATAAATAGGTAAATAAGTAAGTAAGCTGGGTAAGATTCAGCAGTGGAGCTGTCTGCTTCTGAGCTTTCCTTTGTTGGGAAATTTTTAATTGCTCTTTTAATCTCATTACCTATTACTGGTCTACTCTAGTTTTTGTCTGTTTCTTCTAGGTTTTTCAATTTGTTAGCATGTACTTTTTCGTAATAATCCCTACTGATTCTTTGTATTTCTGTGGTATCAGTTACACTATCTTCTTTTTAATCTTTAATTTTATTTTTGGGTTTTCTGTCTCATTTTCTTGTTTAATTTATCTAAAAGTTTGTTAATTTTGTTTACTTTTCAAAGAATCAACCATTTTTTCCTTTGATTTTTTTTTTTTGGTTTTGTTTTGTTCTTTTAGTCTCTGTCTTTATTTCTGCTTTGGTCTTTGGTTTTTTTTCTACTGATTTTGAATTTGGTTTCTTTTTGCTTTTCTGAGTCCTTACCATGCATCATTAGGTTGATTATAAATTGTTTCTTTTTTTTTTGGTACCAGGGATCGAACTCGGGTCCTTGCGCTTGCACAGCAGGCCACGAAACCACTGAGCTAAATCCCCGGCCCTGTTTCATTTTTTTTTTTTTTTTTTATCTTTGGGTTATCTATTGCTTTAGATTATCAGAAACATTCTATTAAACCCAGAGTATAGCAATACTACAAAAACAGTATTTTACCAGTTCTTATTTCCAGATGATCCTATATTACAGAATACACTTAAGGAAAAATATATTCAAAATTACTAAGAGCTAGCAAGCCCTATTCACACTGTGGGCATTAAATCAACCATCAGTTGAAGCTGATAATTTCCTTTCTTCTAGATCAAGTTTTCCTACCCACAAAGAAAATTTTGTTAGATATTATAATATACCCTCTGCACAGCTATGATTTTCCAAAAAAGAGTAAAAGTTAAAATAACAACAAAGTCACGAAACTGCCATAGCTTGCTTTCTGAAGGAGCTTTGATGATCATCAATCCTTTTTGCCCCCTAACAAGTAGACGGTCACAACAAAAGGTGAAATAAAATCCAACCCCCAAATAATTGGACCGCAAAAGGCATAGTTCAAACTACTGATTTAAAATGCTCCAAATGCATTCTCTTCATTTGCCTTTTCCCAGTGGTCC